CAAGTGTAAACCATATGTTTTTGTGTTTTCTTCAGTTTTTGCTTCCGCTCGCTCTCGCTCCTCTCTTCATACAGACCGGAAGTAACGGAGGAATACAGAGCGTATGGAGAGAATTCTGTTCCTTTATTATTCAATCAAATAGAAGAGATTGAAACCAAAAAAGAGATTGAAACCAAAAAAGAGATTGAAACCAAAAAAGAGATTTGAAACCAAAAAAGAGATTTGAGACCAAAAAAGAGATTTGAAACCAAAAAAGAGATTGAAACCAAAAAAGAGATTGAAACCAAAAAAGAGATTTGAAACCAAAAAAGAGATTTGAAACCAAAAAAAGAGATTGAAACCAAAAGAGATTGAAACCAAAAAGAGATTTGAAACCAAAAAGAGATTGAAACCAAAAAGAGATTTGAAACCAAAAAAGAGATTTGAGACAAAAAGAAAAAAAAAAAAAAAAAAATGTTTTGAGATGGAAACAGAACAGGTTGCAATTGAAAAAAAAATATGAGAGAACATATTTCTTCAACTTCAATCAAAACTAATGTTTGTAAGTAAAAACATACGACCATTTTGCGTCCTCTTTGCTTGAGAGTTATAAAGTTTTGTTTGCGAATTCAGCTGCACTTGATGGGCGGGGCCTACGCTGGTGGACGAGAGAAGAGTTTCTATTGGTTGGTTTGACCTGGCTACGTCTTCCACCCACTTCTCCCTGTGCTGTGCTGCTTGGAGAAGCCTGTTGCTCTTGAAACGTTTCCCATAAGTAATGAATTGCGCTATATATCGTTGGCTACAGCCTGCCGTACATTCACAACAACAACAACAACAACAACACAAGTAATGAATTATAAGGCTGGGCTAGTCACGGCCTGAGCAGAGTAGCCTAATGAGTGAGTGAATTACAGGGAGGCGTATTCAACGTAGGGCTGTGATTGAAACCTTTAGTGTTGCATGGTACCCGGCTCCCGTTCTCTACAGCTGTTCTAATGTCAACAAACACACGTGGCGAATAATTTAACAAATTCACGCACATATTTCTAACCAGCCAGCCTTTTGTCCACAATTTCACCCCCCACAAGGCTTTCCTCTGGAATAATAGCAATATTCTTATAAGAAACAAATCCTTATTCTTGCTACAATGGTTTGAAAGAGGTATCATCCATATCCTCGATCTTTTTGATGATGCTGGTAATATGTTGTCTTATGAACGTTTTATGTCTGTACACAGTTTTCCTGTTCCCTCCAGAGAATTTATATCTGTAACTCGTGCTATCCCAACAGAGTTAATTCGAGTTACATTGAATATAAACCAAGTCAACCTGTACTGATGCTGAGTGGAATTGAACTAACAGATAGAAAGTGTAATAATAAACATATTCGCCAGTGTTTTCAAAGAATGAATAGAGTTGTGCCTAGAGGCAAGTTTTACTGGAGGTCCCAAATAGAGGACATCAACTGGAGAAGAGCTTCTACCCCACAAATATTGCATATCTAACAAGGCTAAAGAAGTACATTTTAAAATACTGCATAATATATACCCAGTTAGTAGTATTATTGCTAAGTTTATAGATGTTGATGATTCCTGTACTTTTTGTAATCTTAATACAGAAACAATTTCACATCTGTTTTTTTATTGTGATATATCTAAAAAGTTTTGGAGTGATGTTGAATCTCATTTTTTTGATGCTGCTAACTCTGTCTACTCTCTTACCCTTAAAGATGTTATTTGCTACTATGTTAACCCAGAAGATAATGCTCTTGAACACCTGATGAACTTTGTTATCCTATATGCACAATTCTTTATTCACAAACAAAAATTTGCAAAATCACTATTTACCTAAATTTGCTCCTTTTCTCCCGTGGGATTTCACTTGTTGCAGGGAAACGCAGAAGAAGAAATTGTTGCAGGAAGTGTGCAAATCGGAGAGTAGTGTGTGAAGACATGGACATTTTTGAGGGGGAAATAAACTTTTTTTTGTCGCAAAGGCATTATCTCCGTGATGGATTATTCTGGGCTTTCGGTGAAGCGAGCGGTGGAAAAACAGGTTGTACGGTTTCTGCACAACGTATGAGTTGAAAAGGCATGTTGTTGTCACGTAAGGGCCCTGATCATGTTGCACAGACATTTTAATGACATTTTGTGTCTGTTAAGAGGAGCAAAAGGCACTCTTTAGGATATGCCCCCAAAAAGTGTATTATAACTAACTGGGAGCTCTGGCCATTAGCTGCAGCATCTCCAGTTTGCTAGAACCAATTCTGGTCGTCCTTTTTCCTATCGACAGTACTCGGTGACCTCTAGTGATCAAGACGAGGGTAAAAATCTGCCGAAGTTCCCCTTTAAATAACAAAAAAAGTAATACCTTGCTGAGTCATTATTAAAAGTTTTTCCCTGAAGCCCCTGTTTGAACTATTTATTTTTTATTTATTTATTCATTTTAATTATTATTATTATTTTTTTAAATTTGTACTTTAATTTGTGTATCTTTGATTTATTATTTATGTCACTCACCAATGTGCTGATTGTCATTGTATACCTTGTAGTTTTGGACATTTAATTTGTTCAATTAAAAAAAAAAAAAAAAAAAAAAAATATATATATATATATATATATATATATCTAGTATTAATATAATTATTAATAATAGTAGTAGTAGTAGTAATTGGTTTATTATTAGGGGGTTTATTATTATTATTATGATATGTAATCTGGTGTGTTGATTGTTTTATTTTATTTTATTCTCGTATTTTAACTGTGTTTTGTTTGGTTACTTATGTTTATACTTTGTTCTTTCTTTGTTTTTATCTTATTTATTTTGTCACAGCACTTTGTAACCTTGTTTAGATCATTTCTATATATATAAAGAATAGTAAAAGTACTGATTCAACTTCTTTTACACAAGTAAAAGAAAATAAAGTACAGGCTCTGAAATGTTCTCATAGTAATAACAGGAAAAAGTTCTCTCTTAGTTTCTCTGGAGGAAATTTAGCAACAGTTTGAGTTAAAACCTCAAATAGGATCTGTCAGTTGTCTGTTTCGTCTTGTTACGTTGTTTTGTTACATCTGTCATGTGTGATTTGCAGCAGTCTTGATGTTGGGAAGGCGTGCAATGATGCCAAATAATAATAATAATAATAATCGTGTTCCATCAAATTAATAGAAAACATTTAATCTCCTAAAACATTGGGACGAGGGAGACTTTCAGTTTATTATTAATCTTTAGCTGCAACCACTATATTAGAGACATGAAACATTTACACAGAGACAATGAAGTAAAAATCTACATTAAAATAAATTAATATTATCTGACACTACCAACGGTCTCAGATGTGACCAAAAACTAAATAAATGAATCAGACACAATAAAAAGTTTTGTTTTTGTTTTTATTTTATTTTAAAGCAATTTACTTTTGTCTCATTTATAAAAAGGCTCTTCAGTAATTTATGCCAGTATGTAGTATAAAGTATTCTTATATAAACAATGATCAGACAATATAAAGGTTTGAATTTGTCACTCAGACATTTAAAGAATGTGTAAATGCTTCTTATTCCTGAGTACATTGTTTTCTGATGATTTTACAGTTTTGAAGGCAGATAATGCAGTTATTAGAATAAATGAGGCTACAATATGATATCAATACATTTACATGATAAAAGGAAAAAATATATATATTCCATACATCACCAATAAATATACATTTATTCATTAAATGATGTGAATCTTTCTGTAGAAAATCAAATGGTTGTTCTACTCAGTGTGATTGACAGGAGAGATGATCAGAGGGGCAGAGTTTTTACCACCATAATTAAGACTGGGACCAAAGTATGGGTAGAGTTTCTCAGTGAAGGAGCAGCCAGTAAAGGAGTAGATAAGAGCTGCAGCATCAACATCATAAAAGGAGACCAGACCCTCCTCATAATCCACAAACACCCCCACCTTCTCAGGCTGAGACTGCAGAGAGAGACGGACTGAAGGGCCAGCAAGAGCTTTGTACTCATTTTTATTCCTCAACCATATCGTCCAGTAACCATTCTGAGGACTCAGTGTGATTTTTCCCTTCCTGTTGATCAACTCTCTGGCCACTCCTAAATCCCATTCAGTCTTCCCTTTAACCTGAACCTCGTAATAAAATCTTCCTGTAGAGAAACTCTGCTTTGCTAAGACACCGGCACAACGATCAAATCTCTCTGGATTGTCTGGGAGATTCTTCTTTACATCACCATGTTTAACTTGTTTTCCATCATCAGACAAGATGAGGTTGGGCTGTGCTGTATCAGGATCGAGTGTTACATCCACTGCATACTGCTGGACCCTCTTCAGCTCGACCTCAAGCAGCTTCTTCATCTGTTTACTGAGCGTCTCCTCCAGCTGATTCACAGCTCTCACCACAGTCCCCTCATATGAAGGTGGATGGACACTGACTTCTGTCCAGTCCTTGGTGGGTGGAGCAGCGTTCAGGGACAGGAAGCTTTGGAGGAGGTGGAGGTGGTCTTCAGACTGTGAGAGCTGGTCCACCTCAGAGCTTCTCTTCTTCAGCTCAGAGATTTCCTGTTCCAGCTCTTTGATGAAGTCTTCAGCCTGTTTCTCTGTCTTTCTCTGCTTCTCTTTGATTGTGTCGATGAGCTCGGCCTGGCTTCTCTCAACAGACTCCTTCAGAGCGGTGAAGACCTGAACACCATCTGCTATCTCTCTGTCTGCACCTTCCTTACTGAGCTCCACTGAGCGTTTGATCTCCTGAATCTTCAGTTGTCTCTTCTGGATCATCTGCTGAATTTCAGCCTCTGTCTTCCCCAGCTCGGCCTTCTTTCCTTCATATTCTTCTTTCAGAGGAACAACATCATGTGTCTTGTGGTCTAAAACAGTGCAGAGCATGCAGACACACATCTGGTCGGTCTTACAGAACAGCTCCAGCAGTTTATCGTGCTTCGTACACATCCTGTCTTCCAGGTTCTCCACAGGGTCGATCAGCTGATGTCTTTTCAGGCCTGACATTGTCAGATGAGGCTCCAGGTGAGTCTCACAGTAGGAGACCAGACACACCAGGCAGGACTTCAGGGCCTTCAGTTTGGTTCCAGTGCAGACGTCACAGGGAACTTCTCCTGGTTTGGAAACTTGTTGCTCTGAGCTGCTGCTGCTGGCTTTCTGTTGAGCTGACTGTCTGAACTGAGCAGCCATCTCAGAGATGAAAGTATTGACCTGCAGCTCAGGTCTTGTGCTGAAAACCTTTTTACAGTTGGGACACTGACACTGGACATTAATATTCCAGTGTTCAGTGATGCAGGTTTTACAATAGTTGTGTCCACATGGTATGGCGACTGGATCAGTGAACACATCCAGACAGATGGAGCACAGAAACTGATCTTCAGTCAGCAGACAGCTGGCAGCAGACATATCTACACTGTGAGGATAAAAAGAAAAGAAAACTGTAATTACATTTCTTTTGATTATAATAAAATTAATTAATTATGATTATTGCAACATAAGGAGTCTCTTCCTGAATTCTGTTATTATACTGAAACCAATTAAGGGCCATATTGATTATTGACTAAAAAAATCGCACAACATGAGACATGAGCTGCGATTGTTGATGAGTTTGCAGTTTCAATCTGTTTGTATTCAGTGTCTGATTTACTGAGATTGCTCATTACACAGTCAGGTCCTGGACTCTGCTGCCAGTGTAGAACAGCGTAGATGTGTAGTTCAGTGGTGGTATGAGTTCACCAAGCTCAAAAAAGTGATAACATGGTGATTCTAAAATATTTACTCCATTACTGTCACATCACACATTAAATAATATATATATGTGAAGGTTTGAGGTTTAAAGTATATATACACACACAGATCATAACTGCTCTGCACTGTGTGTTCTGACCCCTTTCTATCAGAACCAGCATTAACTGTTTCAGCAGTTTGAGCTACAGTAGCTCGTCTGTTGGATCGGACCACACGGGCCAGCCTTCACTCCCCACCTGCATCAATGAGCCTTGGCTGCCCATGACCCTGTGTCTGGTTCTTTTCATTGTTATTCACGTCACCTGTCAGTGCTCACAATGTTACGGATGATCGGTGTACACTATTTTAGTTTATTTATATTTATCTTTCCATCTTAATTTTATTTTTAAGCTGTATTGTATTTAAATAAACTGTACAGCACCTCAAATATACCATTGTCTATGAAATGTGCTTTATGAATAAACTGCTTATATTTTATTAAAGTGGAAATATTTTCAAACTAGGTCCAAATTTAATATTAAACTCAACACACTTTTTTACATTTTCTGTGATTTATTTAGACAGTAAGACCTTCAGTGTGACCTTTTCCTGTCTGAGTAGAGCTCAGGTTTTGTGTTAATACCGGTTGTTGAAACACAGTAAATATTATCAGCTGTACTGCCTCCCAGAGACAGACAGCAGGAACTACAGAAACACTGAAGACGAGAGGTTTAAGGATACTTACCAAAGTGTGTAACAGTTATATAAGTTGTAAAAGTACAATGTTATACCTTTATAAGCAATACAACAAACTCTCAGATGAAATCAGACGCTGTACTCTGTCCTTTACACAACCCAAAGGGAAGCTAAGCTAGGCTAGTTAGCTTTCAGCAGGACTAGTTTCTGTGGTGTGTTTTCATTGTTTGGTTGGATTTAGCTCCTTCCTTCTATCTGTATGTGCTATAACAGACTGTAACAAGCTCTGTAGGGCAGTGGACTCACCAGAGGTTGGCAGAGATTCTGCTGTTTAGTTGAGAAAAACCTGATGGATTCAGTTGAATTTGTCTTCAGAGACAAACAGAGAGACTTGTCTCCACTGCAGCTCTGCTGTCTTCAGACAAACCTTCACTTTCATTTCCAGGAAATGTGTCACTGAAGCTCTTTCAGTGTTGCTCCTCCTCTCAGTGCAGATCTGTGAGTGAGCTGTTATTGACTGATTGGGAAATATCTTTGGAACAAGATGGGTTTTTCCTACAATGTGAGTCTACAGCAGCCAAAGGATCATACAATAACAAACAGACAACATAAGAAAAGAGGTCAGTGTAAGATATTCAGGAACATACTGTATCTTTAGATCAATATTCTACAACGCTCCCTTTACAGTCCCTCTACAATCCCACAAACACTCCAATGTTCAGCTCACTGTTTACTCTGTAATTTCACTTTCTGCTGCTTTCCAAACTGTTTACCATCTTTTCTTTATGTGACAGATTTCTTACTGATCACATTACAGGAAAAAATACAGAAACACTGAGAGGGAAAACTTTTGTCACTGGGCCACAAGTAGGCTTCTCTGTGATTCTGAGGTTTCAAAAGTAAGAAAGTAAAATATTTCTTTCAAAGAACTCTTAAGTGAAATTACAATTGTTCATTTTAGAAAAATCTCCTCACTCAGAGAGAGTAGTAGGCCTTAATTACTTTATACTGCTGGAAAACCAACAGTGTGTCTAAGAAAAACAGGATTTATAATGATCACTTTTATTTCCATGCATGATTTCTTTGTTAGTTTTACTGTTCATATTGTAGCATCTCATACTGGACACAGAGTCAGAGCTGAGTTGGGAAGTTTTTTATTTTTTTTCTCCAACATAACAATGAAAGGAAAACACCAACACAGTCCACCACCAGCATATATTATACAGCCAAGAGGTTTGGGCAATTCACTGTGCATTTAAAAGTGTTGTATTAATCTGCAGTCAGACTCTAATATACAGCATACTGTCAATGTTCAGACTACAACAGCACCCTCCTCCCATACACTGCTCATAGGCTGACACCTGCTGGTGACTTTATGGAACTGCAGCTGACAGTTGGAGTGAAAATAAAGGCAGAAAATAGGAAGAAAGTAGGTACAGGACTCACAGTACAACAGCCAGACCTCTTATTCCTGTTGTTATCAGTTATCAACTTTAACTCCACACAGTAGCAGTACAATATCCTAGGTCTCAACAAGTGAACCCAGTAGTGGGAATATTATTTCAAACACATTTCACCGATCAGGAATGACATTGAGGCTTAAATCTGCCACACTAACGTTACATTGGCTCGCTGTTTCACTGCTAACTGATTATTGTCTAATATATAAGCTACCTTTTGGCTGTAGCACTTTTACAAACAATAAAGTTGGTCTTACCTTATAATGTTATTACAATGATAATGACACTGAACGTGGCTGTGTGGTGGGCAGGTCATGCGGCGAGCTGTCCAATCACAGCACAGAACCTAAATGAAACAGACCAATGGGAGTGGGTCAAGACAACCCCATTGGCCTGTTCCATTTGTACATGAGCCAATAGTAGCCTCTGAAATCGATAGGGGGGACCATTTATGTGAAACACAGGTATGGTGACTAACTCTCTCCCGTAGGTGAAGCGTTCCTCATTCCTTTATCTATTCTGTTGGTTATGTTGTATTTGTCCTCAGGCTTGATGATTTATAACTTTAACAACTGAGATCGACACCACTGTCACTGTTCGGTTGTTTATTAAAATTCTGAGCTCAGATCACAGTAATTCTCCCAAATCAACTCTTTTATGGAAACTAAACTTCCCTGAACAACAAATTTGGTCAGACTCTAATAAATTCCTCATTCCACATAAATTGAAAGAAGTTCACGTGAAGATATCACATAGATACCACCCTTGTTTCCTGTTGAATGTAAAATGTGAATCTGTAAAGTAACCAGCAAATCCAGCTGTTAGACAGATGTAGTGGAGTAAAAAGTACAATATTTCCCTCTTTAATGTAGTCCAAAAAACATCCAAAAACATAATAACACAGATAGTAAAAAGGTTTGAATGTGTTACCCAGACATTTAAGGAACATCCAAATGCTTCTTATTTATTAGCACATTGTCTGTTACTGATTGAACAGTCTTGGAGGCAGCTAATGCAGTTATTAGAATAAATGAGACTACATTAGATAATATCAATCAGTGCAGTAAAACTGGTGTGTTGTAGTAGTATACCACCATCATTCAGACTGGGACTAAAGTATGGATAGAGTTTCTCAGTGAGGGAGCAGCCAGTAAAGGAGTAGATCAGAGCCACCTCCTAAAACATGGAGACGATGGAGACTTCTGGTTTATAATTTCTAAATTACTTTTAAGTTTTATCATATGAATTTAAATTTGATAAACTGTATTTGAATCAATCATTATAATCACAACATTTCAACAGTGTAGAATGAACAGACAAAATAAAAATGTTATTTTTTAGTTAGTTTATTTAAAAAGAAAAAGAGAGAAAAACAAAATACCTTTATCTCATTTAGAAAAAAAAACCTAACTTATCTCAGTATAAAACATTTCTTATATAAACAATGATCAGACAATAAAAAGGTTTAAACTTGGCGCCCAGACATTTAAAAAATGTGTAAATAATTCTTATTCCTGAGTACATTGTTTTCTGATGATTTTACAGTTTTGAAGGCAGATAATGCAGTTTCTAGAATAAATGAGGCTACAATATAATATCAATACATTTACATGATAAAAGGAAAAAATATATATATTCCATACATCACCAATAAATATACATTTATTACATTAAATGATGTGAATCTTTCTGTAGAAAATCAAATGGTTGTTCTACTCAGTGTGATTGACAGGAGAGATGATCAGAGGGGCAGAGTTTTTACCACCATCATTAAGACTGGGACCAAAGTATGGGTAGAGTTTCTCAGTGAAGGAGCAGCCAGTAAAGGAGTAGATAAGAGCTGCAGCATCAACGTCATAAAAGGAGACCAGACCCTCCTCATAATCCACAAACACCCCCACCTTCTCAGGCTGAGACTTCAGAGAGAGACGGACTGAAGGGCCAGCAGCAGCTTGGTACTCATTTTTATTCCTAAACCGTATCGTCCAGTAACCATTCTGAGGTCTCAGTGAGATTATTCCCTTCCTGTTGATCGATTCTCTGACCACTCCTAAATCCCAGACAGTCTTCCCTTTAACCTGAACCTCGTAATAAAATCTTCCTGAAGAGAAACTCTGTTTTGTTAAGACATAAACACAATTATCAAATCTCTCTGGATTGTTTCGGAGTTTCTTCTTTACATCACCATGTTTAACTTGTTTTCCATCATCAGACAGGATGAGTTTGGGATGTGCTGTATCAGGATCGAGTGTCACATCCACTGCATACTGCTGGACCCTCTTCAGCTCGACCTCAAACAGCTTCTTCATCTGTTTACTGAGCGTCTTCTCCAGCTGATTCACAGCTCTCACCACAGTCCCCTCATATGAAGGTGGACGGACGCTGACTTCTGTCCAGTCCTTGGTGGGTGGAGCAGCGGTCAGGGACAGGAAGCTTTGGAGGAGGTGGAGGTGGTCTTCAGACTGTGAGAGCTGGTCCACCTCAGAGCTTCTCTTCTTCAGCTCAGAGATTTCCTGTTCCAGCTCTTTGATAAAGTCTTCAGCCTGTTTCTCTGTCTTTCTCTGCTTCTCTTTGATCGTGTGGATGAGCTCGGCCTGGCTTCTCTCAACAGACTCCTTCAGAGTGGTGAAGACCTGAACACCATTTGCTATCTCTCTGTCTGCACCTTCCTTACTGAGCTCCACTGAGTGTTTGATCTCCTGAATCTTCAGTCGTCTCTTCTGTATCATCTGCTGAATTTCAGCCTCTGTCTTCCCCAGCTCGGCCTTCTTTCCTTCATATTCTTCTTTCAGAGGAACAACATCATGTGTCTTGTGGTCTAAAACAGTGCAGAGCATGCAGACACACATCTGGTCGGTCTTACAGAACAGCTCCAGCAGTTTATCGTGCTTCGTACACATCCTTCCTTCCAGGTTCTCCACAGGGTCGATCAGCTGATGTCTTTTCAGGCCTGACATTGTCAGATGAGGCTCCAGGTGAGTCTCACAGTAGGAGACCAGACACACCAGGCAGGACTTCAGGGCCTTCAGTTTGGTTCCAGTGCAGACGTCACAGGGAACTTCTCCTGGTTTGGAAACTTGTTGCTCTAAGCTGCTGCTGCTGGCTTTCTGTTGAGCTGACTGTCTGAACTGAGCAGCCATCTCAGAGATGAAAGTATTGACCTTCAGCTGAGGTCTTGTGTAGAAAACCTTTTTACAGTTGGGACACTGACACGGGACATTAATATTCCAGTGTTCAGTGATGCAGGTTTTACAGAAGTTGTGTCCACATGGTATGGTGACTGGATCAGTGAACACATCCAGACAGATGGAGCACAGAAACTGATCTTCAGTCAGCAGACAGCTGGCAGCAGACATAACTACACTGTGAGGATACAAAGAAAAAAAACTAATTAAATGAAATGTGTTTTCATTATAATAAAATTAATGAATTATGATTATTGCAACATAAGGGGACTCATCCTGAATTCTGTTGTCATACTGAAACCAATTGAGGTTCATATTGCCAAAAAAATGGTGCAACATGAGACATGAGCTGCGGTTGTTGATGAATTTGCAGTTTGTATTCAGTGTCTGATTTACTGAGATTGCTCGTTACACAGTCAGGCTCTGGACTCTGCTGCCAGTGTACAAGAGCTCAGATGTGCAGTTCAGAGGTAATATTGGGATTGACAGTCTTGGTTATACTTGCAGTTTGATCAAAAATAAAGAAAATAAAGAGGAGGAATAAAAAGGGAACATGAGAGAAAGTCTTTATGAACAATAAAAGAAAATGTCACAATAAATCAGATACTGTACTCTGTACTTTGGTTAATCCAAAGGGCATCTGAACAGGACTAGTTTATCTGGTATTACTTGTTTTCTTTGTTATGGTTGGATGTAGCTACTGCTTTTTACAGGATATGTCCAATGACAAACCTTTTTATTAAGATGCTGGAACATTAAAATGGTTAGAGACATAACCTTAACTAGCCAGAGTGCAGTTGCTGTGATATGGTATTTAAGTCTGTTTTGTACTTTATGTTTTTTATTGAAAATGACACACTGACATACATATTTTTAAAACAGATGAAACAAAGGCAGATTCTGGTTTTAACTCAATTTCAAGGTCTACTTCTAAAAAATATTATTTAAATAAAACAAACACTTAACTCAAGTTTGACTAGATATTTAGTAAGTGCATTTTCTCTTTGTACTCACCAGAGTTTGGCAGAGTTTAGCTGAGAAAATCCTGATGGATTCAGTTGAATTTGTCTTCAGAGAGAAACAGAGCGACTTGTCTCGACTGCAGTTCTGCTGTCGCTCAGACAAACTTTCACTTTCATTGGAAGAAATTGTGTCACTGAAGCTCTTTCAGTGTTGCTCCTCCTCTCAGTGCAGATCTGTGAGTGAGCTTCTATTGACTGATTGGGAAATATATTGATATATCTTTGGAACAAGATACGTTTTTCCCTTTTTTCCCCCGACAATGTTAGTCTGCTGCAGCCAAAGGATCATATAATAACAGACAGACAACATAGGAAAAGAGGTCAGTGTAAGATATTCAGGAACATACTGTATCTTTAGATCAATATTCTACAACGCTCCCTTTACAGTCCCTCTACAATCCCACAAACACTCCAATGTTCAGCTCACTGTTTACTCTGTAATTTCACTTTCTGCTGCTTTCCAAACTGTTTACCATCTTTTCTTTATGTGACAGATTTCTTACTGATCACATTACAGGAAAAAATACAGAAACACTGAGAGGGAAAACTTTTGTCACTGGGCCACAAGTAGGCTTCTCTGTGATTCTGGGGTTTCAAAAGTAAGAAAGTAAAATATTTCTTTTGAAGTGAAATAACAATTGTTCATTTTATAAAAATCTCCTCACTCAGAGAGAGTAGTAGGCCTTAAGTACTTTATACTGCTGGAAAATCAACAGTGTGTCTCAGAAAACAGGATTTATAATTATTATTATTTAAATGCATGATGAATCTTAAACTACAAACAATTTAAAGTCTCTGTCTTCCTTTCCTATAAAAGCTACTTGTGGTGTCACAGTCTGTGAGGGCGTGGCATGCAGGTCAATAGTCACATAACTGAAGTTTTTGTGAAATAGCACATAGTACATACGTCTCTTGACTTGAACTGTGCCTCCTTGTTCCCTTTAAAGTAGAGCTGGGCAATAAACTGATTGAACAGATTAATTCAAATGTAGGCTATATAAAAAATAGCTCAATCATAAAATAGATATTTAAAATAGGAAGGTAAAATGCAGTGATATACATCTGAAGTCACTAATCTACACAGAACATGTAGAATCAATTCCCCACAGTATCTCATAAAAGAAAATATTGTTGTAAGAAGTAAATCACATGGGACATTATTTTTAGATTGGTGTTACATGCAATACAACTTGCAGAGTCACATTCTCGTCTTATCATCAGATGAGATGATAAATGTGACTGCATGCCCTCACAGGCTGTGACACCACAAGTAGCTTTTATGGGAAAGGGAAGACAACAGCTTCTACAAAGCCTTAGACCCTCCTTGTTGATTACATGTAACAGAGCAATGCAATAAGGATATAATAAAAAGGTAACTGTAATGGATCACAGTTATAGAAAAAAAACACATTGGATTACAGTTACACCGATCAGCCCTAACACAGTGAGCACTGACAGTGAATAACACTGATTATCAGGGCTCCTGTCAGTAGGGGGATATATCAGGCAACAAATGAACATTTTGTCCTCAGAGTTGATGTGTTAGAAACAGGAAAAATGGGCAGCGTGAGTATCTGAGCGACTTTGACAAGGGCCACATTGTGATGGACAACTGGGTCAGAGCATCTCCAACCTGCAGCTCTTGTAGGGTTTTTTCCAGGTCTGCAGAGGTCAGTACCTATCAAAAGTGTTCCAAGGAAGGAAAAGAACCAGAGACAGGGTCATGGGCGGCCAAGGCTCATTGATGCAGGTGGGGAGTGAAGGCTGGCCTGTGTGGTCCGATCCAACAGACAAGCTACTGTAGCTCAAACTGCTGAAACAGTTAATGCTGGTTCTGATAGAAAGGGGTCAGAACACAGTGCAGAGCAGTCTGTTGGTCTGGGACCAGTCAGGGAGCCCAGTGCTCATAATGTCTTGGCTGATTGGTGTACATTTAGTGAAACGGTATCATTAGCTGGATACATTTGTAAAATACATTTAAAATAAAGAACGGTGTACTACCATTCACACCAGTCTTCATATTCTCACAATACCAGTTTGGTCTAAAGGGAAACCAGTTATTCTTATAGTTGCCAATTCATTATCAAGGCCAATAGTGACAGACAATGTTTTCACGGGGTAGAAATTTCACCAGTATTCTGTGAAAATGCTCTATAAACTAAATTGTGCAACCATTTTATGTCAACCACATACTTTTTATTTTGAAAGTTCAACTGGACATTGCATATTTATTATTGGTTAGTTGATCATAGAGACCTGCACATCCAGAAATCGGGATACCTACAGTGTCATATTATAAGAGTATTTTCTCACTGCTTATTACATTCAGAACATTTATTTACCCTTTCAATTGAAGTTTATAAAAACGTTGAAATGGTCTGATACAATTCTCCCATACTGAAGTGTTTTATGTCGACCCTTTATTGACCACAGACAAGCCATTTATGGTTGTTTCATTTTGATGGCACACGTCATACATTTCTTAATGTAGACCACTGACCATACATGCTACAATTACATATCATATATTGCTGGATTCAGCACACTCAGACCGTTCTAAGAAATGCTGGTTGGTGTGTCTGAGACAATCTCAGCTAAAGCTAACTTAAAGTAAATTAATAAATTTAATTTAATTTAATTTTAATTCACAGCTCTTACCACAGTCCCCTCATGTGAAGGTGGACGGACGCTGACTTCTGTCCAGTCCTTGGTGGGTGGAGCAGCGTTCAGGGACAGGAAGCTTTGGAGGAGGTGGAGGTGGTCTTCAGACTGTGAGAGCTGGTCCACCTCAGAGCTTCTCTTCTTCAGCTCAGAGATTTCCTGTTCCAGCTCTTTAATGAAGTCTTCAGCCTGTTTCTCTGTCTTTCTCTGCTTCTCTTTGATCGTGTCGATGAGTTTGGCCTGGCTTCTCTCAACAGACTCCTTCAGAGCGGTGAAGACCTGAACACCATCTGCTATCTCACTGTCTGCACCTTCCTTACTGAGCTCCACTGAGCGTTTGATCTCCTGAATCTTCAGTCGTCTCTTCTGGATCATCTGCTGAATTTCAGCCTCTGTCTTCCCCAGCTTGGCCTTCTTTTCTTCATATTCTTCTTTCAGAGGAACAACATCATGTATCTTGTGGTCTAAAACAGTGCAGAGCATGCAGACACATATCTGGTCGGTCTTACAGAACAGCTCCAGCAGTTTATCGTGCTTCGTACACATCCTGCCTTCCAGGTTCTCCACAGGGTCGATCAGCTGATGTCTTTTCAGGCCTGACGTTGTCAGATGAGGCTCCAGGTGAGTCTCACAGTAGGAGGCCAGACACACCAGGCAGGACTTCAGGGCCTTCACTTTGGTTCCAGTGCAGACGTCACAGGGAACTTCTCCTGGTTTGGAAACTTGTTGCTCTGAGCTGCTGCTGCTGGCTTTCTGTTGAGCTGACTGTCTGAACTGAGCAGCCATCTCAGAGATGAAAGTATTGACCTGCAGCTCAGGTCTTGTGTTAAAAACCTTTTTACAGTTGGGACACTGACACTGGACATTAATATTCCAGTGTTCAGTGATGCAGGTTTTAAAGAAGTTGTGTCCACATGGTATGGTGACTGGATCACAAATCACTCCAATGTTCAGCTTACTGTTAACTCTGTAATTTCACTTTCTGCTGCTTTCCAAACTGTTTACAATCTTTTCTTTATGTGACAGATTTCTTACTGATCACATAAGTGAATTTACAATTGTTCATTTTATAAAAAGCTTCTTACTCAGCGAGAGTAGTAGGCCTTTATTTTAAAATAAAAAGAGAGAAAAATAAAAAGACTTTTGTCTCATTTCTGAAAAGGCTCTTCAGTAATGTATGTCAGTATTCTTATAAATACAATGATCAGACAATAACAAGGTTTGAATTTGTCAATCAGACATTTAAAGAATGTGTAAATGTTTCGTATTTCTAAGTACATTGTTTTCTGATGATTTAACAGTTTTGAAGGCAGGTAATGCAGTTATTAGAACAAATTAGGCTACAATATGGTATTAATGAGTGCAGTAAAATGGGTGTATTGTTGTAATAAGCAGCAATGTGACACATCAAACAAAAAAATTTACATGATAAAAGGAAAACAATGTATACATCGTACATCACCAATAAATATACATTAATTCCATTAA